GAGCCCCCAGGGCCCCATCCCCAGATGTTTATTCCAGCTGTGACCCCTGGGCTGCCATTCCCCACACTCTGCTCCCACCAGGGCCTGAGCTGCAGCCCCAGACCCTGCCCAGGAACAGCATCCCCCTAATTAAATCCACCCAGACTCCTTTAAACCCATCATTGCACTCAGCTGCCATCCAGAAAGAGCTAATGCAATTTCCTAATTAGAGACCTGGAACTTCATTTGGAGATAAACAGGAAATGCTTAAGATAACGACTATAAACACTGAAATGAGATTTTTCTTTTCATGAGCACTCTGATGGAGACAAATGCCAACCTGCAAACTCCCTGTAAATATGAAATATTTCAGCCCTGTTTACCACTTCTTCAAATTCCTCTGCCAAACACAAGGAGCAGTGCAAGTAAATAACACTCAGCAGATTTAACTTCTATTTCAGGATGTTTGCGTGAGCCAGAAGTTTTCAAGTACTGGGGTCATACTCAATTTCTTTCCCCCTCGCAAAACCAGAAAAACATTAAAGAAGAAATTCTTTGGTATTAAATGGCACTGCAGGGTTAATGTTATATTGATGGAAATATTGAGAGAGATGGATGCACTCTGGTTTTACCACCCTGGACACCTGAAAAAGCGAGTTTCAAAGTACTGTCAACACAACATGAAGAAGCAGAAAAACCTTCCTTAAGTAACAATAGGCAGAGCAGCTCTGGGAAAGACAAGAATCAATGGATAATGCTTTAGCAGGAAAAAAAAAAGGAATAATTTGGCCCATCCACATTTCCCATGAAGTCTTACTAGAAATTATTGCTTTCCAGCAGGTTTTCCATGTACAGATAAATGCAGGCAGCTCCTCCTTGTACAATATTTCACTATCAGGCACTTGAACATAACTTGCTTTAATGTAATAATTATATTACAACTCCAGTTCCAACTCAAGACTCGGACATTGCCAAGTGGCTTGAAGAAACACTAAATATAGCTCAGCACAGTAACTTTTATGCAGGACATGAGCTATTAAAAGCCATGTTCCAAATCTCCTGGTGAGTCACAGCAATGCCATGAGCGCAGGGCCTGGAAAAACCTATTTGTACACAAGGAGTTGTATTTGAGCAGTGGGAAAGGAGCACAGAAGCTGCAGAAAGCCAGCCTCTCGCACAAGAGCAGAGCCTTCTGAGGCACTCTCTGGGCCCTTCCAGATTTCTAATTAGTCAGAGCTGCCTGTCCCTGGCTTAAATTACTGCAGGAGCCTCGGGGCAGATCGAGTATCTCTCCCAGCAAAGGCAGTAAGGCAGCACATCCCAAACCAGCCCCATCCCAAGGGAATGGGATCCCACCTGCTCACACCTGTGAGGCAGCACATCCCAAACCAGCCCCATCCCAAGGGAATGGGATCCCACCTGCTCACACCTGTGAGGCAGCACATCCCAAACCAGCCCCATCCCAAGGGAATGGGATCCCACCTGCTCACACCTGTGAGGCAGCACATCCCAAACCAGCCCCATCCCAAGGGAATGGGATCCCACCTGCTCACACCTGCGAGGCAGCACATCCCAAACCAGCCCCATCCCAAGGGAATGGGATCCCACCTGCTCACACCTGTGAGACAGCACATCCCAAACCAGCCCTCAACTGCTCTGTGCCCGGGCCAAGCTGCTCCCAGTGCATACAAGCCCTGGGCCTCCATAGAGTTGAAGGTTTAGAGGATTTAGGACAGAAATCCCACCAAAAGCAAACCCAGCACGTGGCCCCTAAGGAATCCCAGGCCACCTGAAATTCATGGAGCGCAGAACTGAAGTTACCCCTTCCTGCTCCACTCCCTCCCCAGCTAATTTATTCAGCCTAACTGCACTTCCCAGCTGTTTGCAGCTGGATTGAGGATGTAGCTCAAGATAAAGCCAGCTCTGAGCTGGTTCCTCTGGCTGATCAGCCCTGTGCCTGCTGTGGGCAAGATGCCATTTGATGGCAATGCATTAATTCAGCTGACGAGGAACTGATCATTTCCTGGCCAGCCCTGCCTCTGCCCACCTGCAGGTCCCTGCTTTTTGGGAATGATCCTGACTGGATGCGGGAGCCTTTAGGATGCCATGGGCACCTACACACACCAGGACTCCCGGTTCACCCCTCCAGCCAAGCCTGCCCTGAGATCACCTTGTGGTGCCACCTCCAGTGCCAGGTTGTGTCTCAGTCACCCTCCCCAAGCTCTGATATTTCACTTCTTAGGTTTCCCAGGGCTTGTGTTGCTCCCTTCAGCAGCACTGACAACAAATCTGTCCAATATACGAAATATAAAGTCCTCAGCAGCAGATTGAACACTTCAGGCAGCCAAGAACATCCATCAGATAATTGCTGCAAAATATTTAACACATCTATTAATTATTGTGGAATCCTGTTCCACTGAGCTAATCCCCTCTTTAATTAGTTTCCTACATGTATTTCATAACTCCATATAATTCCATCTGTGGACTCACAGCCTTCTCATAAATGCCATTCCTCAGCTTTGATGGAGCTCTTGCCCATCCTTTCTTATTTCCCACTTTCAGGTGTTATTTCCCTGATGCCAGGTGTGATATTTGGGCTCCAAGGCCCAGGACGGCAGCCCTGGAAGCAGGGCAGGGGAGGACAGCCCTGCCAACACAGCACCAGGAGCTGCAGCAGCCAGGCAGGGTCAGCCCCAGGGATGGACCCCTCACACAGATCCCAAATTCCTCCCAGCACTGCTTCTCCTGGCAGCAGCTCCTTCCCTGCCCCATGGTGCAGGGCCCTGGAACACTGAGCCACCACCCCTGCAGGCATTCACACACCCACAGGGATCCTCCTGACCCCCTCATCCCATCCCAGTGTAAAAAACCCACAAACGAGTTCACCAGCTCAGCAGAACATAATACAACCCAACAGAACACATCCTACTGCCTGCAGGATCCTGCTGGATGTCTGTCATGTCTTCATGAGCCCTCAAACCAAATCTGAAAGCCTTAGCCCTGATAGCTGGAAGTGAAACCTGTTAAAAGCCCCCCCTGCTATGGGATTTCACTCTGGGGAACAAAAGAAGGGCCCTGTGACTACAGGAATGTTTGTCTAGCACGCGAAATGTGAGTAGTAAGTGAGCAATACGAAATAGTCATCATTAATGAATACCAAACATGTAAAACCAAGCAACTTGGTGTCATTTCTCCAGCTTTTAAAGAAAGCCAATGACAGCAGTGTAACTTTTAATGAAAACCAACGAGAGCAGTGTAATTTTTAATGAACACCAAAGACAGCAGTGTCAGCACTTGGGTGAAACCTGCCTGCCCTGCGTGCCCAGGGCACCCCGAGTCCATGCCCAGGTGTGGGGCAGGAACTGCCCAGCCACCACACCCAGCGCCCGGGCAAAGGTCAGTGCCAGGCTCCCCACCCCGGCCCCAGCTGCCCCGCATTCCTGCGCACCCCGGGCCGCCGATCCTGCCCGGTACAGCCCGGATTGCTCCGCATTCCGCCCGGGATTTGGAGCTGGGGCTGACACACGCAAACAGGGAATGCCAGTAATCCCCCAACAACATAAAACACCCATTGATTCACGTGAAATGGGAACGAGAGGACGAGGCTGGTGAGGAAGTTGTTCCCTCTTTAATAGCAAAACAAACCTATTAAAAATCTCCTCCTTGGGCTTTTTAGCTGGCACACCTGCCCTGGGCTGTGTGGGCTCCAAGGAAAACAAACACCCGTGGAGGGAGTTCTTGGAAAGGAGGCCACCAAGACATAAACTCAGATAATAACTTTACACTATCAGCACCAGTACAGACTTTCAATTTAAACCCTCAGTATAAGAACTGACTTTCAAATTAATCTTTGCTAAAAGAAGAGGAAGTTTCTGCATTGATTTCTGCCAGAGAAGCAGTGCGGTGACATTTGCATGCTGCGCTCGGGGACAGCCGCTGCTGCAGGGGACTTCCCTGTCTGGGCACAGATTTGTTACTGCCCGCTTGGGTTAAAAACCTTCCGAGTGACACTGGGGCAGCTGGAACCCGGTGGCAGCCGTACCTACAGGGCTCCTGGTGGCTTTGTTAAAATCAAACCCTGGGGAGGCGAGTGAACTCCTGGGGAGGCACTCGGGGAGCGTTCTCAGATGGGAGAGAAAGCAGAAATGGGGCAAACACCTCGGCAGAGAGGAAACGAAAGGAAACGAAAGGAAACGAAAGCCGCCGGGGCGCAGACGGGCAGCGCCCGATGCAAATGGCCCCGCGGGGACCGGGAGGGGCTCGGGACCCCCGAGAGCCCCCGGAGCTCCGGGACTCGGCGTGGCTGCGACCCCGGGCGGGCGGGGCAGAGCCCGGCACGGCGCGGACCGAGCCTTCCCCCCATGGCCCGCCGCTGCCGTAATGCCCCCGAGCCTCTCCCCCGAACGGCCCCGCAGCCCCCGGCCCGGCCCGGCCCCGGCGCCGCCGCCCACCTGCCCACGGTCTGGTTGGCCAGCTGCTTCATGCGGTTGAACTGCTTCTTCATGGCGGCGGCCGCTGCCCCGGGCTGCCCGGGCCCCGCCGCTCTGCGCCGGCCGCCCCCGGCCCCGCCGCCGCCCCAGCACCGCCCGCCCGGCGCGGCCCGGCCCCCGCCGCTTCCGGCCCTGCCCTCCGCCCGCACCGCGCGTGATCGGCGCCCCCGGCCCGGATGTCCCGCCCGCAGCCCGGATGGCGCCGCTGCTCAGCGCCGCGGATCTTCCTGCGCCGCTCGCTCGCTGGCGCCGGGTGCCGCTGCTTCACGAGGGGCAGTGGGACCGATCTCCCCGGCAGGGCCGCCCGGTACCGGACAGCCGCAGCCCCGCTGCTCCGCCGAGCGGTCCCGGACTACAACTCCCGGTTCGCCTTGCGCTACCGCCTCCGCTTCCTGGTCGAGGCGCTGCATCCCGCGAGCTCTCATTGGGCGCTGTGCATTTCCATGAGCGCACGGACCAATGGCCGCCGAGTTCCGGCGGGGGCTGCCCAATGAGCGGCGGCGGGGGGCGGGCCGCAGGGGCGGCGGCAGCGGCCGGGCCCCGCGCGCTCCATGGCGGCCGCCACCGGCCCCGACGAGGCGGACGAGGCGGTGCGGGGCACCTGCGAGGACGCGTCCGTCTGCAAACGGTACCGGAGCCGGGCCGGGCCGGGCAGGGCCGGTGTTCCCCGGGCGGGGCTGGGCAGGGCGCGGGCGAGGCTCGGGCGGCTCCCGGGAGAGCAGAGCAGAGCAGGAGCGGTCCGGGCCCGTCCCGGTGCCCGGGCTCTGTGCGTGCGCCCCGGGCTCAGCGGCCGCAGGGCCCGGCCGGGTCACGCTCGGAGCAGCGGGGTGCTCCGGGACCTGCGGTGAGCCCCGAGCCGCCCCCGGTGCCTCCAACCCCGCCGGGCCCGTCCCGAGCCGGCCTGCGGTGCTTCCCGGTGCTAACGGCGGGTTCCATAGCGGAGCCAAGAACCGGCCTGGCGCTTTTCCGTCTCCTCCCTGCTCCCGCCGGGATGGGCCCTGGCAGGGGATGGCGTCACTGCCCTGGTGTGTGAATTTAACCCCTCTCTTGGTCGGGCTGTCCTTTTGGGCTTTAGAGCAGCAGAGCGTTTGTTAGGTGGAGAGCTTTCCTTGGGGAATCACTTGTAAAAGCCATAAGTTCTGTTAAACAGAACTGTTTTACTGTGAACTGATGTGGCAGCTCTGGAATCAGTGCAAACACCTTGACTCATACAGCAGGTAGAAATAAAGCCTCGTTTGTGTGCCTGAGGAGCTGCAGACAGACAGTTCATCTTCTGGCTCCCCCGGGAGGGAATATTTGAGATTTGGGTCTTTGCTCACAAGATTTCATCCATTAGTGGAGAGGCCATTAAAAGGATGCTTGTTGAATATGGCAACAACTGAAATGTCTAACTAAACTATATAAATTCTTAACTCAGGTAGTTCCACACATGGAACAGATTTTTAAACCATGTCTGCATGTGCACACCCAGGGCAGAGGGACCCTTCCAGCCTGTGTATCTTTTAGGGTAAATTTTGGGGGCCTTATTTCATAATTCTCTCTTCCCCTGTTGCTGCACAGGTTTGCTGTGAGCATTGGCTACTGGAAGGACCCTTACATCCAGCATTTTGTGAGACAAGCCAAAGAGAGGAAGGCACCTGAGATCAACAGAGGCAAGTTGGAACGGGGATGGGGACACCTCACCTGTCCTGACAGCACCTCTGCACCCTGGGGTTGGGGGTGGGAATCTGTGAGGGAGTGAGAGGAGGTTTCTTCGCAGCAGTAATTCCATCCATGCTGTGTCTGATCTTTGAAATATCTGTGAGTCAAAACTCTCTTTCTTTGGTTTTTGAAAGCAACTCTATTTCTTTCCTTTTCTGCTGTCTCTGCATGTCCCAGTGTAGAGATCTCCTCAAAGCAGTCAGAAATGCTGGTTTGACCCAGGGCAGTTGGGTCCCTGCAAGTAGAATTATTCTGCTCTGCTTGAGGTGAGACTTGACTAAAACTTCTATTTGCCCAAGGAGTTGGGTTTTATCAGTGCATGGGGCTTTGTTTGTAATTAAAAAAGAAAAAGGAGAGCCCTTAGGTAGTTAAGAAGAGGGCATTGTTGTCCCTGCAGAGTGCCTGGGGACCTTGCTGAGTGCTGACCTTGGCGAGCTGTGTGCCAGGGGTGACTCCCAGCTCTGTGTGTGCTGCAGGTTATTATGCTCGAGTGCACGGGGTCAGTTACCTGATCAAGGCTTTCCTGCAGAAGACACAATGCAACTCTCAGATTGTCAACCTCGGGGCTGGCATGGACACCCTGTTCTGGAGGCTGAAGGTAACGGGGGCTGCAGGGCCAGGCCTGGCTGGGACAGGGGCTGGGGGACCCCTGGGGGGCTGCTCTGGGGGACCCCTGGGGGGCTGCTCTGGGGGACCCCTGGGGGGCTTCTCTGGGCTCTGCAGCCTGGCTCTGTGCCACAGGGCAGCACAGCAGGGCTCCCACACAGAACCCCACAATAGCTGGGCTTTGGGGGACCCCTGGAGATCATCCAGAGCAGCCCCTGGGCAGGCAGGGTCACCTGCAGCAGGTGACACAGGAACGTGTCCACAGCTCTGCCACCCTCATTGCAAAGAGGTTCTTCCTCATGTCAACATGGAACTTGTTGTGTTTTAGTTTCTGGGCACTGCTCCTCGTGCTGTCCCTGAACAGAGTCTGGCACCATCCTCTGACACCCCTGGGAGGGATTTGGATGGATTGATGGGATCCCCTCTCAGCCTTCCCTTCCCCAGACTGACCAGGCCCAGCTCCTGCAGTCTCTCCTCATCACAGAGATGCTCCAGACCCCAGATCATCTCTGTGGCCTCTGCTGGAGCCTCTCCAGCAGCTCCTTGTGTTTCCTGGGGAGCAGGACTGGGCCCTGCAGCTCTCCAGGGATGGGTGCAGGGGCAGGAGCACGCCCTGACCTGCTGCCACACTTTCCCCATGTGCCCTGGGATTGCAGTTGTGAGTTTATTTATGTAAATCGTGGAATCACAGATGGGAAGGGATCTGGAGAATCATCCAGTGCCACCCCTGCCATGGCAGGGACACCTTCCTCTATCCCAGGCTGCTCCAAGCCCTGTCCAGCCTGGCCTGGGCACTGCCAGGGATGCAGGGGCAGCCCCAGCTGCTCTGGGCAGCCTGTTCCATAAATAGCAGTGTTAGTGTGTGTGTAATTCATGGAAATTCAGTCACTCAGGTGTTGTGTGATGGTGTCATTCTGGGTGAACACACCTCTGAGTGAATTGTCTTCCCACTAGCATTTGCATGGGTAAATTTGGGTTCTGGAGGGAGGCCTGAGGAGCATTTTGCTTGGTCACAATTTATTGTATTCCATCAGTGGAAGGGAGACAATTCTGATTTTTTTTTTCCCTGAGCTGTGAAGCTTTTCTCTTAGCTGCCTTTCCACAAAAGCTCTGCCCAAATACTGTTTTGGTAACAGTGGCTTTCAGAGCTGAAGTGGGGCCTGTCATTCCAGTTCTTTGTCCTGGCAGAGAGCAGGTGTGGTGCAGTGAATGAGCAGGGAGTTCCTGGAGTGTTGAGTGCTGGTCTCACCTCAGAAAGGCACGGGGTGACAGCCAGCACGGGCAGCACATCCCTCACAAAGGCCCTGCTGCAAGGGACAGGCTTGGCACTGTCCCTTGGGAAACCCTGCCAGCGTGGAATGAAGGGCTTTCCTCGCTTTTGTGGTGCAGGCAGGCTGCTGTGCCTGTGCTCTGGGGGAGAGCTGCGGTGTGCTCCCTGTCTGGGTGAGCCTGTGCAAAACCTTCCTGCTCCTCCCTGCAAGGCTGTGCTGGCAATCCTGTGCTGGCAATCCTGGTGAATGCTGTCAGGGTGCTGTGTGTGCTCTCCCACAGCCCCAGACCAGGCTGCAGGGTGTGTTTCAGTATCTGTGTCTGGGGTTAGAGTCCCTCTCCTCTCAGGTGACATCCCGGCCCCACCTGGACACGCTCCTGTCACTGCTCTGGGTGAGCTCCAGGGGCCCCTTCCCATCTCATCTATGCTCCTGTGATTGCATCAAGTGATAAATCATTTCTTTAGCTCTTAGCTCTCAGCTGGGTTTTGTTGGGTTTTAAGCCGTGGGACACTGTTACAGCACTGGTACAAATGTCACTGTAAGCCAAACCAGAGCTGTTCAGGATTTTGCTTGTGTCTTGTCCTGTGCATGTGAAACTTGAGTGTCCCTAACTCTAGTGTCTTCCTGCAATTCCCAGGATGAAAATCTCCTCCCTAGGAAATATTTTGAAGTGGATTTCCCAATGATCGTTGCAAGAAAAATACACAATATCAAGTAAGTCTGTGTTCAGCTGTGGGGACTGGCTGTCAGTCAGGGCATTATTTCAGTCTCTGCTGAGAAACTCTTCGTGTTCTGGGGTGTGAGGGTGGGCAGGCCCTGGCACAGGTGCCCAGAGCAGATCCTGGATCCCTGGCAGTGCCCAGGGCCGGGCTGGATGGGCTTGGAGCAGCTGGGACAGGGGAAGGTGTCCCTGCCATGGCAGGGGTGGCTCTGGGTGGGCTCTGAGGTTGTTTCCCAAACCATTCCAGGACTGTATGTACAATAAAGGCTCATGGGGCAGGCAGGCTCTGCTGCCCCTGTCCCAGGCTGCAGAAGGGGGTGGGTGAAAGCTCTGGGGAGGACAGCCCTGAATTCCCAGATGTGCCTGTTCAGTTGGAAGCAGGACAGCTGGGAGTGTCCTGTTGGAATGAATCCATCCGGGGTTATTGAGGGCTTGTTACAGTGCCTGGATTTCTCTTGAAAGGTTCTCTCAGAGTTAAAGAAATTGTGTATAAAAGTCAGCTCCTAATTCAGCAGGCTTGCAAAGGTTTTCCTTTCCAGCAGAGGGCAGAGATATTCCCTCAGCTGCTTTTGGCACACACGCACAGACACACACACACATATATATATATATATGTTAAGAAAAAAGCTGTAAGCTCTCTGTTCAACAGGCTTAACTGCTCTGAGATGCTTCTTCCTTCTTCCCACAGATCAAAACCTCCCCTGTCAAAACCAATTATGGAATCCCATTCAGGGGACTCTCTTCTAATAGGTGAGTCATCTTCAAACTCAGTCAGTGATGTACTGCAGCACTTTTAAAACTTTTCTGATCATTTTGTTCTGCTATGTGGGCAGGCTTTTAATGTTTGAAATGCTGTTTGGACAGAGAATTGGGAGGGAAAAGAAGCTTTTTTCTTCTCTTACAGACTCCTGCCCATTTGTTCTGTGTCATGTTAGAAATGTCTTCTCTTTAAGTGGTTTTATTCTGGCAGAAAGTTGTTGGGTTTTTTCTTTTTCTCTCATATGTAGCTCCTTTTCTGTCACAGGAAAGGAAAAAGTGCTACAGAGAGGCATGGATACTGGATTAAAATATCTGTTGAGTGTTTATCTGCTTTCTGTCTCATTAAGAGCACAAATCTTTACATTGAGCAGCGTTTTCACAGCAGAAACACAGCCTGCACAGTCCAGGCCCATGAGCCAGTGCTGTTTGTTACAATTTAGTGTTAAAAGGATAACAATTTCAGGTGGTGGCTGTAGTCTCTTGGTTTGTACCCTCATTAGGGAACAGAAGGTTCTGGGCTCCCATCCCTGGAGTGTCCATCCCTGGCCAGGGCTTGGGGCACCCTGGGACAGTGGAAGGTGTCCCTGCCATGGCAGGGGTGGCACTGGGTGATCTCTAAGGTCCCTCCCAGCCCAAGTCATTCTATAATTGTAATTTTGTGTCAGGACTGCACCTGAGAACCTTTTAACCTGTGGAAAATTGCCTGGGTTCCATTGAGTTCATGTTCTCAGTGCAGGTGCTGAGCTGCACCAGCTGTCCTGTGCCAGAGTGTGCCAGAGAAATGGCACAGTGGTGGTGGGGAGGGAATGGCTCTCATATGGATGAGGAGCTGGGATGGAGGGCGAGCATATGCTGTTCATTTTTGTTCTGGAGGAGAGGGAGATCTGTGCTTGAGGGTATGTTGTTGTTCAACACTAAGAAAAAATTGGGAAAATAGTGATTAGTAAGTGGCAGCTTGTTGGCAAATCCAAACTCTGAAGAGTGGTAAAGAACTGCAGAAGTATCTTGTGAAATTAGTGACTTGATGATGATTTCAATGTGGATTAATAGAAAGTGATGCACATGGGGGGGAAAACAGTTTGTGCCTCACATGTAAATGATTATTGCTGCCTTCCTGCTGGATCTGGGTATTAGAATAAATAGATGGATGAAAGCACGAGCTCAGTAATGGTCCAGAAATACAAAGCAATTCTAAGTACTTTTGAGAAAAAGCTGGAAAACAACTTGGGTGCCAGTGTTAGATGATGTTCCCTCTCTTTGACTTTTCTTTCCCTTGGGAGCTGCTGTTGGCCTCTGGAGGGCTGGGATCATCCTGGGGAGCCCTCTGGTCTGACCTGGGATGGTGTTAGACCTGCAGGATTGTGGGGTTACCACTGGCACAGGGAGCAGCATTGCCAGGGGGGAATGGCTCAGGATTTTGGAATCCTGTCCCTGTATCTGCCTCCCCGCCTCACTCACACTGCTGGCTCTGCACACCAGCAATGGTTTGTTTAGGCTGTTTGGAATCCTGGTTTGAGTTGTGCTGGCTCTTTCAGCTTCCCTCCATCCCCAGAGGTTCTTGTGGCCAGTGTGGGTGTCAGGGGACGTGCTGGGCTGGCCCTGGGCTCCCAGGACAAGCTGAGAGCGTGGCAGTGCCTGCTGGGCTGTGGCTGGAGCTGGGGCTGGGCAGAGCAGGCTGCAGGGGCTGCTGCTCTGGAAAGCTGCACAGGTACCTGAGCATGAACATCCCAATGAAATCACTGGGAGTCAATATATCCTGCGTGCTGCCTCTTGGAGAAGCTCCAGGAGGTTGTTGCACTAATGTGAGAAGGAAGCTGTGTTGTGGTGGCAGAGGCAGAGCTTGGTGTGCCTGGAGGCTGCAGGGCTGCCCCACAGCTGGGTCAGGGCAGCAGGGAGGGCCTGGGGCCTCCCTCTGCACAGCAGCAGGGCTAACACGGCTGGAAGAAAAGATTCAGCGTGCTCAGGTCAAAAGGCAGCTGTAAGCAGCTCCTGCTACTACTCAGTTACTACAGGCTTGTCTTGTTCTGTGCCTGTGACATCTGAACCACTCGTGCTGTTCCTGTGTCCAGAGCCATGGACAGTAACCACACTGTGTGTGCCCAGGGCAGAGCATTCTCTGTTGGTCATCCCTGGACAGCTGGACCTGTGCCCTGGCTGGGGTAGGTGAGGTGGGGGGCTCATCTTTCCCCCTTCCCCATCCCCTCCCTTGTAGTTCTCCAGTTAAATCTGAGTTTGGTGTTTCTCAAACCTTCATTCAGCCAAGAACAGAGAGAATCTTTGTACAGGATGAGGGTGAGCATCACACAGAGCCCAGGGCAGCTCTAGAGGAGAGCACCCAGCCAGAGAACCTCACTAAACCCAACCAACCTCACTAAACTCAACCAGACAACCTCACTAAACCCAGCCAAACAACCTCACTAAACCCAACCAACCTCACTAAACCCAGCCAAACAACCTCACTAAACCCAACCAACCTCACTAAACCCAACCAGACAACCTCACTAAACCCAACCAACCTCACTAAACTCAACCAGACAACCTCACTAAACCCAGCCAAACAACCTCACTAAACCCAGCCAGACCACCTCACTAAACCCAACCAAACAGCCTCACTAAACCCAGCCAGACAACCTCACTAAACCCAACCAACCTCACTAAACCCAGCCAGACAACCTCACTAAACCCAACCAACCTCACTAAACCCAGCCAGACAACCTCACTAAACCCAACCAACCTCACTAAACCCAGCCAGACAACCTCACTAAACCCAACCAACCTCACTAAACCCAGCCAAACAACCTCACTAAACCCAACCAACCTCACTAAACCCAGCCAAACAACCTCACTAAACCCAACCAACCTCACTAAACCCAACCAACCTCACTAAACCCAGCCAACCAACCTCACTAAACCCAGCCAAACAACCTCACTAAACCCAGCCAGACCACCTCACTAAACCCAACCAAACAGCCTCACTAAACCCAGCCAGACAACCTCACTAAACCCAACCAAACAGCCTCACTAAAAACACCAGGTTTTGGTGCTGGTGCCTGGTAGGAATCAGTGCCTGGAGTGGGATTTGCAGTGGTTTAAGCCCCAAATGTCACTGGCTGTGCCAGCACTAGGGCACTGGCCTGAGTCACAGCACTGCAGTAGGAATGAGCAGAGGGGTTTGAACACACACACACAGAATCAATTCAGGTAAAACCAACTCTTGTTCCTCAGAGGAAATCAATGGGGAGCATGTGACCGTGCTGCCAAGCTGGGACTGGATTTTCCTTTTCCAGCTGCCCTGTGCATGGGCAGGAATTGTGAAATCCATTTGCAGCGAGGCCGCTCAGCCTGGGCAGCGCATTGCTCACTTCATAGTTCACAGAACCCCCTGAGTGGGGAGGGACCCCCAGGGACATCCCAGCCCTGCCCTGCCCTGCCCAGCACAGCCCCAGGAGCCCCCAGCTCTGCAGGGAGGTAGGAGTTGGTGCCAGACCGTGTCCCAGCCGGTTTTGGGGTGTTTGTGGATGGACTGTGGCCTCCAGGCTGGGGACAGTGGCAGGTCCAGCTGTCCCAGCTGTCACTGCCCTGCACTCAGTGTGTTTGCTCCCTAAGGGAGAGGTGATGGAGCAGCTGAAGTTTGCCTAGTTCAGGATGATCCGACTGAAAAGGGTGAAATTCAGGTGAGGTGCTGAGGAGAAATCCTTCCCTGGGAGGATGGGGAGCCCTGGCACAGGTGCCCAGAGAAGTGTGGCTGCCCCTGGATCCCTGGCAGTGCCCAGGGCCAGGCTGGAGCAGCCTGGCACAGTGGAAGGTGTCCCTGCCATGGCAGGGGTGGCACTGGATGTCTCTATGATCCCTTCCAACCCAAACCAATTCAGGTTTTATGATAAAAATGCTCAAATCAATGAGCTGTGAGCAAGGAACGTTTACTTCCACCTTGGAGTGTTTGTGCTCCTTCTCTCCCAGATCACTTAAAAAGTTTTGTGGTTTATTTCTGGCTTTTATTTCTGTTCTTTATTGAGGTATTTGTGTGACCCAGCCTCCGAAGCCGGACAGGGAGCTGGCATTAATTCCCTACTAATTGTGGTGGCTGACGCTCGCTGTGCCGTATCCATGGACAGAAACCAGTCCCTATTTAAACACTTCCCTGTGTGTGGTGGGGTTTTTGGGTGGCTTTTTTTGATGCCATTATCATGGCCTTGATGTAATCACTTAAATAGAAGGGTGTGGGAAGTAGTAAAGCTATTACAGAACATGCACATGGAAAAAGCCTTGACTCAAAATGTTGAATCATTCAACATGCCGCACAAGTTTTTTTTCTCTTTTCTTCCCTTGTAACTCTCTTTCTGAACTGTTTCTGGTTCCTGGATCTGCTCCCAAGTGCTGCTGGAATGGCAGCTATTTCCCTTGCTAGCGCCACTTCCAGAGAGCTGGTCACTTGAAAACCAGAGGTGATCCTCTGGGGTGTTTGGTCACTGTGTGTTGGGATAATTGGGAATCCCACACGTGTCCCCAGTTGTTTTGTTCATGAATGGAAACCCCTTTCATCCTGCCCCTTCAGCCACTTCTCTGCTCCCTCGGGCTGTGCCAGGGGAGGCTCAGGCTGGACATCAGGAGGAATTTCTCCATGGAAAGGATGGCCAGGCACTGGAAGGGGCTGCCCAGGGAGGCCTGGAGTCCCCTCCAGAGCCATCCCAGTGTTGTGCAGGGCTTTGGCTCTGCCTGGGTTTGATGGAGCCCTTGGGAAGGGCCTGCTGTGGGCACTGGGCTCCTCTGGGCGCTCTCGTTGCTGCTGGGTGTCAGAGTCACTGATGGCAGGAGGCTCTGCTGCTCCCTCCCAGCTGTGCCAGGATGCCAGGGGCTCCTCTGGGATTTGTCCCTCCTTCGTGCTGGGGAGCACCCACAGGGTCCTGTTGTATCCCTGGGGAATATCAACAGCAACAGAATACCCTCTGTCATTTGGCTCTTTCCTTAAGTGCCATCACTAAATCATACCAAAAGGCTAAATGATATCTCTTTTTTGGCCCCCAGTCTCTGGCTGCTCCCCATATTTATTACATAACTACATATGCAGTTAATTTCTCTAGCTATATCTGTTGTTAATATTTGAAATATTGCCACTTAGCTTAGCTTTTCAGAAATGGATGTACTTTTATGTAGCTCCTATGTACATACATTGGGCAGCCTAAGAAGGCTCCCCAAACCAAACACAAACCCTGCCTTTAATCTTGCCATTTTTCTTCTCTCTGCATTGCTGGAAACCATGGTAACAGCTGGGCTAACCTCTCTGCTTCAGCGTGGCTGCAGAGGCAGAGCAGGCTCCTGCAGGGTCTGCTGGTGATGGAGAACACAGCCAGGAGGGGAATTCGTGGCTTGAAAAGAAGAGTTTGCTGCTCACAGTTGGGTGCAACAGAGCAAACTTGGGCTCCCTGTGCTCCTGGGGCAGTGTTTTTGATTGATAACTGCACATCCCTCACTGATAATGTTGGTGTCTCACATTTCCCTGCAGATTCCCACAGCCTGGACTCCAGTCAATATTCCTGTGCTCCTGGGCAGTGTTTTTGATTGATAACTGCACATCCCTCACTGATAACGTTGGTGTCTCCACATTTCCTTGCAGATTCCCACAGCCTGGACTCCAGTCGGTATTCCATAGTAGGGGCAGACCTCCGTTCCTCCTCAGATCTGGAGGAGAAGCTGAGGAAACACAGCTTGGACACACAGTAAGGGGTTTCATTGGCTTTTGGTGGGTGTTTTCCAATGGGGGCTTGTGGAAGCCCTGGGCCAGGCTGGGCTGGCTGGGAGCTGGGACAGTGGCAGTGTCCCTGCCATGGCAGGGGTGGCACTGGCTGATCTCTGTGATCCCTCCCAACCCAAACCATCCCAGCATTCTGTGATTTCTGAGTTTCAGCTCTGTAATTCTTTCCTGTGGCCTCCTCTCAAACCCCTGTTGTTTCCTAAACGCTTTGGTGGGGCTGCAGCGGCGTCCTTGGGATCTGAATCCCAAAGCTCCTCTGGGGTTCTCTTGTTCAACACGAGGCTTTGGGGGGGCAGGAGTTGAGTTTTTGAGTGGATGATGGACAGACCTTTCAAATGGAAGCAATATAAATAGCAGAGATCTGGCTGGGTGGGAGAGAGCATATGGGGAAGCAGAATGCATCAAATTGCCATTTAATTCTTTACACTTCCATCCTCTGAAATGTTGCCTTGCTTGCCTACATTGCTGCTCCTTGTGGAATTTCTCCTGCTTCTAGTGACTTTTTTTCCCCTTTCATTCCAGCAATTAAAAGCAAACTCAATAATTGTGAAGAAATCACTTGTGTAGATGTCTATTTTTGTTCTTTTGTGGATGGAGGGGGAAGAGGCAACGTGCAAACTATGGATTACATTTTGTTAGATAATAATATGTGAAGATTGTTTTACAGATACTGAACAAATTTGTCTAATTAAAATTCTTCCTAGAACTTCTTTTAAAGAGAACTTTTTTTTCTGTTTGTAATTAATGCCTGATTTCACTGATCTCTACAAGAGTGGGAGCTGTGTGTACAGGGCACAGTTGTCCTGCAAAGGGAATTTTAACACACACAGTTCCTGCTGTCAGAGAGGACTTACAGAATGCACAGTGTTCTGTGCTCAGGGCTGACTTTTGGGGAGATTGATCCCTAAAATCTCTGGTTCACAGGAGTCCCTGTGGTTCATTAACGCACAGCTTGAGAGAGCCCAGTTTGAGTCAATGTGATGAAGAGATTTCATTCAGTCTTCAGTGTCTGGTTCATAAAAGATGGAGCTCTTTCAGGAAATTGTGCAGACATGGAGTGACTTGCTTGCTCTCAGTCCTTAGCAGATTTTTCTTGTTCCTGTGCTGGAAATCATGCTCTGCTGTGGTTTTGTTTTACAGTTTGCCAACGCTGCTGGTGGCCGAGTGTGTGCTGGTTTACATGACCCCCCAGCAGTCTGCCAGCCTGCTCAAGTGGGCAGCAAGCACCTTCCCCGTGGCCATGGTTATCAATTATGAGCAGGTAAAACCAGAGGGGCATTTTTAGGCCTGCATTGTTGTCACTAAAATTGCTCTCGTGGGTGGGAGTTGTTGGGGAATGAGAGTGGGCCCTGTCCTTTTGTAGGAACAGCAGTTTCTGCTGAATTTCTGGAGTAATGTGTTTTAACTTGTAGCTTGGTTAGCTCATTGTAGGGAAAATACAGCTATTCTGAAAGACAGTTTCTGAAGTATGTTGAAGCAAAATAATTGAGACTTAATCCATACGTGGAAAAAACCATAGAATATTGATTTAGCTAAAGCAGAGCAAAAAGAACCGACGCTGAGTGCTGGCTCTGGCTGTATAACATTACATAATTGCCTCTGTGTTCTTTGGCAAAGTGCAGCAAAAATCACATCAGCCTGAACTCTGGTTCTCCTGTGGAAGTAAAACAGTGCCTCAGGGGAGCTAGGTGGCTGCAGGAGTTAGCGACAGCATCTTCCAAGCTGTCAGTGCCTGCTGGAGAGCTGGGGCAGCGGCAGCTGTGCTGCCAGCCCCGGTGTCCCTGGGGCAGGGGCACTGTCCCCGTGGCTCTGGGCTGCTCCTGGGCACCGGGAGCTGCTGTGAGATGGCATCTTGTGACCCAGGCAGTGCCGGGGTTTGGCAGGCTGTGCTGTGCCCTTGTGTCCCCAGGTGAACATGAGGGATCGCTTCGGGCAGATCATGATCGAGAACCTGCAGCGCCGGCACTGCACCCTGGCTGGGGTGGAGCTCTGCAGCTCCCTGGACTCCCAGGTGAGGGGCACGGGGCTGGCACTGGGCTTTGCTAACCCGGCTGGGAGTTCTGAGTGTGCCCTGGGGCTCAGCAGGGGCCAGGGCAGGGGGGGCAGGCACTGAGCCCTTTGCTGGCCACGTTACTGTGGAATTGGGGCATGGTGTTTGGAAGGGACCCTGAAGCCCGTCCAGTGCCCCCCCTGCCATGGCAGGGACACCTCCCACTGTCCCAGGGGGCTCCAAGCCCTGTCCAGCCTGGCCTTGGCACTGCCACAGCTGCTCTGGGCACCCTGTGCCAGGGCCTGCCCACCTCACAGGGAACAATTCCCAATTCCCAATATCCCATCCAGCCCTGCCCTCTGGCAGTGGGAGCCATTCTGTGTCCTGTCCCTCCATCCCTTGTAAACAGTCTCTCTCCATGTTTCTTGTTGGCTCCCTCAGGCCCTGGCAGGCCACAGTTGGGTCACCCAGAGCTTCTCTTTGCTGGCTGAGTGTCAGTGCTTGCACAAAGCCCTGGCTGCCCCTGCAGAGATCACAGCACACACTCAGTGAGGAGTCTGGGAGCTCTTAAAGGCCAGCTCAGTCCGCTCAGTGAGACCCTCAGGGGGAGAAGCTGTGCTCTGTGCTCGCCTGGAGCCTGTGGGAGCTGTGAGAGCTGTGCTGGCTTTGTTTTGCAGAGGGAACGGCTGCTGGGGAGTGGCTGGGACAACGCCCATGCCGTGGATATGATGAAGGTGTACAGCTTCCTGCCACAGGCTGATGTCAGAAGGTACCACTGGGGGAGAGACCCCAAAGTCATCCTCAGGTGCCATTTCCAAGGGCCTTCCCAAGCACGTGGGATCCCCTGGTGGAACATGAGGCTGCCCAGGGAAACACAACCACACAACCACACAGCCCTCCTGAGCCTGAGGCTCTGCACAGCCCCCAGGATCACGCCTGCACTGATGATCCAGAGGGTGAACGCTGCCAGGAGCAGGCTGGGACAGTGATGGCTTCTTTGGGTGTGACAGGAGGCATCTCCTGACAGAGATTTGCAATGGGAGATGCTCAACACAGAAATGCTGTGTTGAGTTTTTGCAGTCCCCAGGGTGTTCCTGGTGAAGATTTTGGCTGGGGTTAGACCACAACACATTGGAATCATGAGGGGGAGGCTGCTGGGTCTGCAGAACTCAGAGCAGGGACTAAAGGCTGTTTAACAGTCACTACTCTGCCTGGATTTTGTTAAAATTCCTGCATTAAACGCTAAACAGTGGGAAATGTTAAGGAGTAACTTCTTAGGGATATAATGTGAAATGTGAATTGCTGTGAGTCATTAATAGTTGGCATTAGCTGAGCAAGTTACCTTGGTCAGGATATTCACCTGTGGGGGTTTCTCAGAGCCTGGAACTGAACAGGTGAGAGTGGAAATCAGAGGTGGTTTAAATAGGAACAGGGCTGTGTGGTGGGACCATATGGCACTGGTGCAGACACGGAGCTCGTGCTTTCTCTGCAGCATTTTTGGCTACCCTGGATCTGCTCAGCTCCTTGCACTTGTTCCACATGCCAGGAAGTAGGGTTATGTAAACTCTGTCCTCCAGAATCACTGAGGCAAGTGCTCTTTCTTTAGAAAAGTCTTTCCCAGAGTGCTCCTCTGCAGCTCCTCACACCTGGGAGGGCACTGAGCAACTTTGGCCCCTTAGAGCCTCAGCAGCAGCCCTGGTGTTGGTCAGGAGTTACCCAGATGGGTCCTGGAACAGGGAATGCCAGGGATGAGGAGTTGGAAACACCCTGTGGGTCACTTGTTCCGTACATTGGTGGGGTGGCATCATGGACAAGGCCTGTAATCATTCCCTGGAGAGGTGGCTGCCTTTCTGGCCGCAGTTCTCACTCCCGTGGAGTGAACAATGCAGTAACAACTCTGCTGGGAATCCAGCTCAGATCCCGACCTCTGTTTTATTCCTGCAGAATAGAAGCCCTTGAATTCCTGGATGAAAAGGAGCTGTTTGAGCAGCTGATGCAGCACTACTGCATCTGCTGGGCTTCCAAGGACAGCAGCAACCTGGGTAAAGTCCTGCAGCCCTGGGGGTGCCCCTGCCATGGGGATGTCCTGAGGGGGGGCTGGGCTGGGCTGTTTCACCCCAAATCCCCCTGATCCGGGGCTCTGCTGCTCCTCCCTGGGCTGGGAGCTGCTCCCAGCTGGGCTCTGCTCCTCCACAGCCTTTGGGGCTTTCTGGGCCTCCCTGTCCAGTGCAGGGAGCTGGAGCTTTTCCCCCAGAAGATGCCGTATGGGTTCCTTTAAATAACTGCCTGCTTTATCCCATCAGTGCTAATTGAAAGGTTTACAAATCCCATGCATGGGAAGTGCCATATGGGCACACGGTATATGAAGGCACAGTGTCCTGACAACACAAAAATAAATTTGTATTACTTATCCCAGGCTTCTCTGCACTGTCCCCATTTGCAGCCATCTGACACTGAAGTTTTCCACACTGCTTTCTCCCTGGGGAAGAACATTCCCTCTGAAATGAACCCTTCTACCTGTTCCTTTTGTTCTGAAAATTCTGTCTTTCCTGGGCTGGGATTTCTGTCAAAGAGAGAGACTTGATTTAGGCTTCCTGTAGCATTTGGGTGTTGCTGCTGCTCAAGAAATGATAAAATGAGGGGAATTGTTGCTTGGCCGAAGCAGGGATGGCCACAGCCTCTATTTGTCCAGATTAGAAAGGAGTTCTATGCAGTCACACTTTGTCTCTTTCTGGCTGCAGTTTCAGGGATTTCAGTCTTTCCAGGAAAACTCTTGTGTCATTTCTCCCCTTCATCCTCCCTGCTCCTGACCGAGTACCCACCAGCAGATTTTACCTATTGAGATAGATTTATTCTGTTCCTCTGCAAATGGGAATAGATTTGGTCTCTGCAGCCTGGCTGGGCAGCACAGCCTCTGACAGAGCTGCTAAAGGGAGATCTTCAAACAAAAACTGGTAAAAGGAGCTCTTCAACACCCTGCTGCTGCTGCTGTGACAGAGCTGCTGCTCGTGCTGCTGCTCTCCTGAATCCTCCAGAGCTGTGAGCTCCAAACCCATGTTCTGCATTGGATCTCTTCAGGCTGAAGGTGGTGACTGGAGCACAAATCCTATTTTAGAGGAGCCAAGGCCCTAAAGTTCATCTGTTCCTAGCAGTTTTGGGGGGTCTCAGCATTGTTCTGTGCTGGGATTAGTGAAAGGACAGTTTGGGGTTGAGCTCTCTCAGCAGTTACAAAGAGATCTCAGAGGTGATAACCAAGTGTCCAGTGGACATGGCATGGGTGTGCCTTAATCCAAAGCAGGGCTTTTTTATCCTGGGGCAATTTACTGCCCTCATGATGGTACTTTCCTCTGCCTTGTCTTCCTCAGACCCTGAGGTTCCTGAGCATTGTGTTGTTCCTGCATCACAATCAAAAAAGGGTTAAAAAGCACAGCCCAACCTGTTTCCTGCTTTCCCCACACCAAATCCTTTATGTTTCAGTTTTAAAAAATGAAATAACTCTGCAAGCATCCTTCCTGCTGTGTGTAAGGGACCGTGGTGCAGTGAGGGTAGGAATAAACGCTCCTTTCTTGCCCCAAACCCCTCTTTGTTTTCACACAGGTCTGGCAAACATTGACTTCTGAGGGCAGCAGGGAGGGAGCCCTGGGAGCCCAGGGCTCAGGATGGACATGCACAGGATGGGTTTGCACGTGCCAGCCCCGGGCTGAGCCTGGGACACTCCTGGTGCTGCTGCTGGGGACGGGCTGGAGCTCTGGGTGCATCCGAGGAACACTGAACATTGAACATTGCATCCAAGGAGCATTGAACATTGCATCCAAGGAGCACTGAACATTGAATATTGCATCCAAGGAACATTGAACATTGAACATTGCATCCAAGGGACACTGAACATTGAACATTGCATCCAAGGAACATTGAACATTGAACATTGCATCCAAGGAGCACTGAACATTGAATATTGCATCCAAGGAACATTGAACATTGAACATTGCATCCAAGGAACACTGAACATTGAACATTGCATCCAAGGAACACTGAACATTGAATATTGCATCCAAGGAGCGTTGAACATTGAACATTGCATCCAAGGAACATTGAACATTGAACATTGCATCCAAGGGACACTGAACATTGAACATTGCATCCAAGGAACACTGAACATTGAATATTGCATCCAAGGAGCGTTGAACATTGAACATTGCATCCAAGGAACATTTCTGTGGGCAGGACGTGCTCCCGTTCCCAGCTGTTCCACAGTGGACTTGCACGAGTGTCAGTCACTCCTGTTCCAAGCTTGCCTTCCTTAGTTCCACACTGAAAGTCGAGTGTTCTTGGGTTCTTTGGTTTGCCTCTGTGTGTGTTTGTGGCTGTGTAACACGTGCTTGTGGCAGGGGGCTGGGGGTGGCTGAGCAGGAGGGAATTCTGTGCATTTCTGTTCTGTTCAGGTCCCATTGGATGAGGTGTTGGCTGCACTGCCCTGCAGGGCTCTCACTGCTGCCAGGGGAAGGGTGGAGGGCAAGGAGGGCCCTGACTGTGTTCGGGGATGTACAAGAAACTGGAAAAGAGATTGATTTGACTGGGAAGGACTCAGCCTGTGGTGTCAGCGCTGGCATGCTGAAGGAAGAAATGAATCTCAATTTGCACTGCTCCTGGTAGTATCTCTACACCAGTTCCTCCTTCTCTCTCTCCCCTTACAAGAAGCAAAACAAAATCCCAACAGCAATGAAAACCCTTGTCCTGTTGTTTGAAATTGAATCTTGCAACCTTCCTATGAGAAAAATAATAAATGTTTAGTATTTATAATTTGTCTCCTGTCTTCCTTGCTAGAAATGACCGGTTTCTATCTGCTTTAGTGACATTTTTCCTCTCACCAGGAGTGTTTTTAAAGCAGTTGCTGGCAGGCCCTGGCACAGCTGTGGCTGCCCCTGGATCCCTGGCAGTGCCCAGGCCAGGCTGGAGCAGCCTGGCACAGTGGGAGGTGTCCCTGCCATGGCAGGGGTGGCACTGGGGGGGCTTTGAGACCCTGCCAACCCAAACCATTCCGGGGTGCTGTGAAATGACCTTTCTTTCCTTCAGGGATTAAAATGAACCCAACGCCCAGCACAGCCCCACATCCCCTCTGCCCTGCAGGGCCTTCCTGGGCAGTCACTGATGCCCAGAGGCACCAGCCCTGTCCTGCCCTGTCCTGGCATCCAGTGAGGAGTCCGGAGTTGCATGAAAGCCCGTCTCTACCACCAGTTAGCTTTGGCCAGGCCCCTTTGGGACCGTGTTCCCTGAGCCTCCTGCAGCACCTCTGTGAGTGGGAGCCAAGCTGGGTGTACCTGCCCTGGAACATCCACATTGTTCCTGTGGAGCTGCTTCCCCTGGGAACACCCCCTGAGCCGCTGCTTTTCATCTCACAGGCTTGGAGCACAGCTCACTGCAGGGATGTCCTGGCTCCATCAGTCTTTTGTGTCTCTTGTCATGATTTCATCCCTTTGTGTTGGGGAATGATGTCTCAGCCAGCGTGAGGCAGATCTGGAGCTCCTCAACTCTATTTCGGGTGCCTGTGTGATTTGCAGGAATTTAATTTATTTAATGCCAGGGCTTGCCCAGCGTTAGGAGCTGAAGGGAAGGCAGTGGGTGGCTCAGTGCACGGGGTTTCAGCCCCTCTGCAGAGTGACCAGCTCCCATTTCGAGTTTACACAGTTTTCAGGTGCCTGGGCTGCCGGGCACAGGAGAATGTGGTTATTGAGGATGGAAATAACCAGGACAGACAGGGGCCAGGTGATTGCAGGGAAGATGTGCAGGGCTGGGGGGGACCAGCAGCATCCACCCCTTCTGGGGGACCTTGGTGGATTTAATGCTAAGCACCAGAATTAAGAATGTGAAATAGCAGAATTAAGGCCTGGGTGGTGATTTGCCAGCTCAAACACCAGCCTGGGCTGCAGGACTGACACAGCTCCATCCCTGCTCTGCAGCAGGCAGCGCTCAGCCCGCCCTGGGCATCCCTGGAAATTTCCATCAGCTCTGGGGCAGCGATGGGAGGAAAACTCTTACACAAGAGGGCTCTGCGAGGGGCAGAGGTCACCTCACCTGTGCACTGCAAACCATTCTGCAAGTTCTCTTTCAGCCCCTTGTGTAATCCCTGCAAACCATTCTGAAGTTCTCTTTCAGCCCCTTGTGTAATCCCGGGGACTCTCAGATAAACGGGGAAGATAAGGCAGTGTCAGAGGAGCTGCTCTGGTTCTTTATGGCTCCCTGCAAGAGCTGGCCCCGAGCTGCATTCGCTGGGCCTTTCCTTGCAGCACCGCGCTGTGCAGCCCAGAATGCTTTGGAATGACTTTTCTATGGATGCCAGCTGGAATTGTGGTGTTTAAAATGTACCAGGGCCGATTCACAGAGAGCACTCGAAGCGCTTCAAGAGCTTGGAGTGACAGAAAAAGGGAATGAATTCAAACTGGCAGGGAGGAGGTTTAGATTGGATTTTAGGATGAGATCCTTCCCTGGGAGGGTGGGAGGCCCTGGCACAGGTGGGATTCAGTGTCCAGCCCAAACCTGGGGTTCTGGGACTGTGTCAACAGCACTCAGTGATGTCCTTCAGTGCCTGCCTGAGCTTTTTGCAGTTTGGGTGCTCTGGGTTTAGAACCCCAGAATGGTTTGCGTTGGAAAGGACATTAAAGATCATCCAACCCTCAGATCTGGTTTTCTCTGCGGATCCTTATTTGGGTACCTTGGTTTGTTTGGGAAGGCAAAGGGAAGGAGGCAGATCTGCTCAGTGAAATGAGGGGAGGAGTGAAACACTGCGGGTGGATAAAACTGGGGTGTTCTGGCTGTCCTGCCCAGGCGGATGGGAGAGGGAAACGCTCCCTGTGATTCCTAAAAACCATTTCTGGAAGCCTTGGCTCGCTCGGTGCCACCACTTCCTGTACTAATTGACACAGTTGCTATTGTCACTTATCTAACAAATCGGTGCAAGCCCAAACAAGGACAAAAATAAGCGTCTGCTGATAGGAACAGATTTATCTGTTCTCATCCCCACGCCTTTTCCCACGGGCAGGGTTTCCGTATGAGCAAACCTCGGTGCTGAGGATTCCATCTCCTGCTCGGAGCCCTTGGCATCCTGGGGCACCTCCGGGCACGGGGCAGGCGCTGAGGCTCCTGCAAAGGGAACCCTTCCCTCAGGGCTGTGCCTTTGTTCAGTGCTGTCTCAGGCCCGTGCTCAGCAGGAATTGAAGCCTTTGTGGCCTCAATGTGGAGCATTTCCTCCGCAGGGCTCAGGCAAACATCCCGCTCCCTCAGATGGTAAATGTTTAAAAGCCAAGGACAGGGGTTAATCCTGGCTGTGGGCTGTGACCTTGCCGTGCTCTGAGGCCAGCACGGTGCTGGGAGCAGAGCGTGGGCACTGCGGCACCAGCCTGGGCACCTGCTGTGCCAGGGGCACCCAGCAGCACCTGGATCTGCCACCCGGCTGCCTTTGCCTGGGACTCACCCCTGCTGCTGTGGGTGAGGGGTCTGGGGTCTGGGGTTTGGGATCTGGGATTTGTGATTTGGGCTCTGGGATTTGGGGATCTGGGATTTGGGGTTTGGGTCTGGGGTCTGAGATCTGGGGATTGGCAATGGTCTGGGATCTGGGGTCTGGGGTTTTGGATCTGGGGTCTGGGTCTGGGGATTGGGGATGGTCTGGGATCTGGGGTCTGGGATCTGGGATCTGGGATATAGAATCTGCAGTCTGGGGTCTGGGATCTGGGATTTGTGATTTGTGCTCTGGGCTCTGGGACAGCCCAGCTCCTGGCAGTGCCTGCACGGTGCCCTGGGAGCCGCTGCAAGCAAGGAGCAGCTGAGATCTGGAAGTGTGTTACATTGATGTCTCATAATAAACACCCCAAAAATAACTGAAATCTGGATTCCTTCTGCCCAAGCGCAATTTCTTCCCAAAGGAGTGCTGGTCATGCAGGGAGCCGTGGGACAGATGGGTTCATGGAGCTGTGGGGAGCTGGCCCTGGGACACGGTGCCCTGTGAGCTGAGGGGATTGAATCAGATCCCGGGGGTCCCACAGGTCTGGGGGTTCATGGGGGCCCCAGGCCAGGCAGACCCAGCTGTCACCCTCCACATGCCAGCTGTGTCTATCAGTGATGCCAGGAGCTCCTGGCTGTAGGAGGAAGCTCCTGGGGGGCAATGGGTCAATGGAGGCTCATTTAGGGGTGCCCTCACTGGGATTCAGCTGGGGGCCAATGGGTCAGTGGGGGCTCATTCAGGGGTGCCCTCACTGGCATTCTCCTGCCTGACCCCTGTCAGCACTGTGGCCACAGGGACAGGCAGTGGAAATTTCCTTCCCATCCCCAGGGCCTCGTGACAACACCATAAACCAGGGAGGTTCTTTACCTGCTGACAGGAGAGAAGGGCTCCTGCGAGCCCCAATCCCCACAGCAGCACAAACACGGGCTGCGGGAGCTCACTCCAGGCTCAGGGCCCATCCTGCAGGGCTGGGCTGGTCCCTGCCTGGGTCCTGGGCAATTCCTGCTGCTCCAGGAGCTGCCCTGGCATCACCCTGGCAGTGCCCATCTCTGGGTGGGGTCACACTGATCCCTCCCAGTCAATGCCCCAGATCAGCCACATCTGGATCCCTTCAGCCCAGCTCAAACCCTCCCAGTGAGCCCGTGCTGGTCCTGCTGGGAGCTGTGGGCTGTGACCTGCTGGTACCTGAGGGTGCCCCCATTCCCCCTGCCCTGGCTGAATCTGCTGTTCCAGCAGTGATCCCCGCTGGGACGAGGAGGGTTTAGGCAGGGTTTAATCAATGTTTAATCAATGCCAGCT